AAAAAAAAAAAAAAAAAAAAAACACTATTACCTCGTCGCGGTTCGTAAAGCCCATCTTTAGAAATGGATACCATTCTCGCATCCCCGATGTATGCGTTAACAAATGCCGGATCGTAATTTTATTTTTACCATTCTCACCAAAAGAGGGTAAATATTTACAAGCAAACTCCTCCAGTTCTGCAAAGAAAAACACACACACAAGAAAGTTGAAGAAACTGCACCAATAAATAATTAACAAATATCATTGAAATATGATTGCAAGGCCCCCGGCCTCGAATTTCAATATATTAATAAAATGTTTGTTTAAAAAAAAAAAACATTCTGCCAACCGAGCGCCAGCGGCCTAGCTCAGTTCATTGAGCATGTAAGTGGTATTCAGGACTCAGGAGGTTGTGGGTTCAATTCCCCATGACATCCATTCGGCTCCCCACCGCCCCAATTCCCCATTTTGACCCTGAAGGACTGCCCACACTAAAAGGAGCCTTCCGTGACCTAGCTCTTCACGGTAAGGGGGGGGGGGGGAACCCCCCTTCCATCTGTGCTAGGGGGGGTTAGATTCAACCCTGAGGGGATAGGCTTAACCCGGAAGGCTCAACTCTGAGGGGATAGGTAGGCTTGGATAGATCGGAGAGGAAAGCGTCCTGTAGGTAGATAGCCGCAACCCATAACCCTTAAACCAGCACTCTGCCCGACATTGGAAAGTCAGGGGACCCGTAGCAGAGGTTCATGAGGCTACCGGTAGCATAGTGTGGAGAACCGGCGCAATGGCGACAATAGAAAATGCGATGAATTGCCTCCATGACCTATTTTGTGGTTGATAATTTTTTTTTGAAATTTTTAAATATTTTTCCTGCAAAGACCACAACCAAATCTACAGACCCTCCAATTTTCAGATTGTTTTACATATTCTTCTGAGCGTGAAAAATTGCTGAAATTGGGGTACTTTTCCCGTTGACCCACAAGTTGTACAGTGGCAAAAATGGAAAATGTGACGGACTGGCGCGGCATTTATTTCATGGGCTAAATTTTTTTTTTTTTTCATTTTTTTGCTATTTTTCCTGGAAAGATCACGACCTAATCTACAGGATCTCACATTTTCAGATTTGTTTTCTTAATTTTTCTGAGCGCAAAAAATCGCCAAAGTTGGCGCGTGAAAATTGTGCGACAGGAGCAACAATGCGCAGCAGGATGTGCAAAAGAGGTGGAAACCATACCCCACATGTCCGTGCAATGCCCGGCAACCGGGCCTTCTGGACGTGGTGGGCGCAGATAGCAGAACACACCCCGTTGGCGCAGATAGCAGAACACACCCCGTTGGCGCAGATATCAGAAACAGACGAGGCGCTCATTCTCCCGGGAACCCTGATGAGGGCCAATAGGTTGCAATCTGAGAATCAGCTGGCAATGGAAAAACTGTGAGAGCAGCACTAATATGGACAATCTGGACCGTGAGAAACGAGCGACGCAGAAAGGGTACGGCCCCCACCCTGCAGGCATACCAGGGTCAAGCGATGGAAAATATTTGAGTGTGCACTCAGGCAGATTTTCGTTGGTGTGACCGAGCAGGAGAAGGAAAGGACCCCTTTTGGAACCCCTATCCACAGCTGCTGGTGCCGGACCCCCAGTCGGGCCCAATCTCATTTGGGCCTCTGTTGCTGCAACGACCATGTCAAGCGGAGACCGACGTGTAACATAGAGGTTTGGAAGTTAGTGGGAACAAACGAGGATAGGATAGAATAAGTTGTAGTGTAGGCATAGGAAGAGAGGGATGGGGATAGGATAGGAACGAAGTAGGGGTGGGTGTACAAGTATGTGAGGGGAAGGAGGGGTGGGAACTTGGGAAGGGAGACGAAGCTGTAAGAAAAACGCTGGGGCACTATACACACACCGTAAGGAACCCACCCGGGGAGTTAGGGGGTATTTGGAGTATAGCTCAAGGCATAGCTCAAGGTAGGCAATGGGCAGGCAACTTGAGGCATGCAGTACACTGTAGTTTGTCGTAGCTAGGTAGGCCGTCGGCAAAGTATCTGGACGTCAAGCAAATGGTAAGGGAACAGTGATATAGTACTGATGAGTACCAGGTGGGGATAATTATGGCTGAGAAATGGGCATTTAGCTAGAGTTTGGACATCGACCGACCGGTGAGGCTGCCAGGCGTCTCTCCCCCGTGCCCCGCCAATTACAGGATCCACATGCTGTGTGTGTCTGGGTGCTGGAAGTAAGCATCCCGGCCAGCAAGTGCACGCTGCCAAATGAGTCATGGTTCGGGGGGAGAGCGGCCGAAGCAACCTCCCCCCCCCCCCCCCCCCCTTCTTCATAGAGATGTGACAATATATACTCGGGAGTCGGGACAATATATTGTCACAAAATTATCAGAGCGCAAAAGCGAAAAGAAGACAGAAAGAAAACAAAGAAAAATAAATTCATCTTTTTTATCTTCTTCCTGACAACTTCCCCTGTTCAGTCATGGACTCATGGTTCGGGGGGAGAGCGGCGGTTGTAACGACCATGCATCTAATGAGTTCTAAGGACCATACTTTCTATTCACGGGACGATAGCCGTCCCTATCTAGAGGCTCTAGGATCCCACTTTTGTCTTTGAGGCTTGAGAGAAGTTGAGACCCATAACTTCGGCTCGGCCAAAATCTATGGCCCAACTTTTGCTGTGCTACTTTGGACCGGGCTTATTTGCGCTGAAAAAAAGAAAAACAGAAGAAGAAAAAAAAGGAGGCCTACTTACCTATGAGCCCCTTCTCATATAGAATCATTACAGCCACGGTTGTCGCAAGAACCTGCGCCAGAGTAACGACAATGGGAGATCCATAGTTAATCCATAGTTAATCCACAGTTAATCTACAGTTAATCCATAGTTAATCCATACTTAATGCACATAGCTGTGCTCACACCAATCCGTCTTGTGGGCATGCCTCCACTACATAGTGTGGGCTCCACAAAGTGTCAGCAGGCCGTGCACTGCGCCATGCCTCCCTGGCAGGGCACCCAAACAAACAAACAAACAAACAAACAAAAAAAAAAAAAAACAAAAAAAAAAAAAACACAAACAAGGACAACCTGAAACTGGCCACAATAGTAGTTATAGATACTTCCTTGGGAGTTTTGGTGTGAGCACAACTTCGTGCACAGCCTTCCCCGACATGGTCTTTTGTTTTTCTTTTTGTTTTTCAAACGGGCCCACCGGCCCACCGGGCCCAACTGCCGATCCCCGTCCAACACCCGAAAAGTTTGAAAAAAATGGGAAAACTGCCATTTTTCCCATTTTTCCCAAGAGTGCGCGAGGTAGTAGGTGGTTTAATCAGGCCAATTACGACAAGCCAGAGACAAGAGCCTCTTCCCTTTTTCTTTCTAACCAAGGAGAGAAACACGTATGGCAAAAAAAAAAACGAAGAGCAAAAGGGAGGATGGAAGGAAGGATACCAACCATGATGGGAGAGGAGTGTAGCGCGAGTACAGGATGTATTTTTTTGACTTGCCGCCATTGCCGGTGGAATAGGAAACGGACTGAAGCTTCCCAGAATGGAGACGGTGATGACCTTTCTTTTTTTTCTTTCTTTTTTCTTTGTGTGGGGGGGGGGGGGATGGAAGGAAGGAAGGAAAAGGGAGAAAGGGATGTGGAGAACGAAAGCGGAGGGCGAAGATTTTGAAAACGCCACGGTTCCACCGTCCAGACCAGACTTGCACCTGCCTGACATCCCGATCTGATCGTCTGGCCTTCCCGTCTGCCACAGCCGGCCAGAATGGCGATGGCCCCGACTACTGGATCCATTAACCTAAGAGCTGGTACTAGAGGTGGGGGTCCTCGGGTTAAGCACTTGGGAACCACTGCCGCTCTAGAGTCTAAACACTCCAGAGTCAAGACGGACCGCTGGTACTAGAGGCACAGCATGGCCACGCAGCGACAGGCCTGACCGCTGCAGCTCCGACCGCTGCAGGGAGCTAGCGAAGTCATAGTCATGTATATATTGTCACATCTCTATGAAGTAGTATGAACTGAAAGAGCGCGCTTTGGAAAAATATACATCGACATAGAGAACTGCCCTGGTCGACCATAGCCAGAAAGGGAGAAAAGGACAAGAAACCGGGGGCTGCGGCAGACTGTTTCGTCGGAGTTTTGCCGACTGACTCATATTCAATCAAGCGGCTGAACCCTCTACAGTCTGCAGAGTCCGCGCACCGACGCTATACTGTAAGTGATAATCCACCTTAACCGCGGTTACAGTTAATTGTCATGGACTGCCGGACAACTGATGCCCTGAGGTGGGGACCACACCACTTCCCTGAAGCGTACCTGTAACAAAAACGCAAAGCAGATATCACTCGGCGCCACTCACCCACACCAGACCGAAGACTCTACAGACTGCAGGTTCACGCCCCATCATAAGCAGCAAGACCCCCACAAAACAGAGTAAGCTCTCTAACAGCGGTGGAAGATACACTCCAGCCTCCAGGCACGCGGCTGTCCCAGGGAACTGTCGGGGGCCGGTGACCGACGGTGTCATTGGGATTCCACCAACTCATCCAGAGGATTGAACCCTCGACAGTCTGTACATACATTTGCCGAAAGATGCGTATGTGTACCAGTAAGCCACTTGGGCTGGATAGGGTATAATGGCACATATCTATCAACAAGAAAGAAGCGCACAATTTGCAAAATAAATGAAGGAAAGAGAAGATAGCATGAAATGCAGATCTTTCTTTTCTTTCTCTCTTTCTTGAAATGCAGCTCTTTCCTGTCTATCACTCTTTTCTCTTGCCTTTTTTTTCACAGCTTCCTTTTCTGCTTCTTCTTTCAGCTCTATCAGGTACAAGACTCGCCACATTAGTGCTGTTGAGCGCGAGCTGCCTACACCAACGTGTGCCATAAGGACCCACTTGAGTAAAAGGGGGAGAGTGCGGGTGGGCGGGCACACGCACGTGCACGAGAGAGAGAGAGAGAGAGAGAGAGAGAGAGAGAGAGAGAGAGAGAGAGAGAGAGAGAGAGAGAGAGAGAGAGGAACTTGCCTTTGTAAGGGATGCAAGGTCGAAGACAGAGTCCGGGGTCACTGGGACAGAAGATTCACTGCAAGTTCAGAGAAACGTAGCAATTTCAGTCAGCACCTTCTTACCAGAGAATACCTCGAGCCGTTTTTCTTTTTTCCTTTCTTATTTTCTTTTTTTTTTTGAATTCGCGCCTTTGGTTTAGCTGTCTGTTTTGGCTTCTTGCTGTTATGCTCGGGAAGCGTCGTTCTGTTGAGTTCTGTTAGGTTCCCTTAAGTTCTATTGCTGAGTTCCGCAGAGCGCCGCACCTCTGTCAACTCTTTGTTCTTATGGTTGAGTTCTTCTCAGTTATGTTAAGTTTGGTGGTGAAGTTCTGTTAAGCTCTGTTAAGGTCCGTTAAGCTCTGTTAAGGTCCGTTAAGCTCTGTTAAGGTCCGTTCAGCTCTGCCTTAGTTCAACTAATGAAAATAGTCCAAAAAAGTTCAACAAAACACACCGCAGCATTTTAGGTCAATGGAATTCGTCGTAAATTCTTTCCTTTTTTTTTTCTTTTTTTTTTTTTTTTYTTTTTTTTTTTTGAATTTGGACCATTTCTCGATTTTTATGTGTGTCATGATGTCACCCTTAAAAGCGCAGCGGCCATTTGCTAATTTACCCTTCTCTGTATCGTTCCAAATTCCAATTTTGTCCCGAAGGACTTCCGTGAAGTTTCGTCTTAAATTCTTTGATGCTAGAGTACTCTCTCATTCTCAAAGATAAATAGTTCGTTCCAACTTAGTTGCATGTGTGACTTTCTGCATCTGCATTTCTTCTTTTTTTTTTTTGGGTTGGGCGGGGGKGGGGGAAGGGGGCATTATTATTATCCGGCATTATTACTAGCTTGCAGACCAAGAAGAGCAAACTACTAATCTGTCCTTTGCACAATTTCGTAGTTTCCCCCCCACAAATTTGCATGCGATGGATTCTTCATGTGAAATGTCAGAGTCCTTTTTTTTACTTTTATATTATTTATATTACTTTATAATAATAAGACCACAGTCTTGTTAGGTTCACGGACATTTCGGTTTAGGGTCTTATAGGTTTTATCTCCTCAAAAATATGTGGCAGATGTGAATTATAAACTCGTAGCGCACAGCAGAATTGGCTTCAGAATCTGTCGATTCACCATGGTCAATCAGATGCATTTACTCTTGCTGTTGCCATTGCAAGAGACACAACATATCACAAACTCATAGCGCACAGCAGAATTGGCTTCAGAATCTGTCGATTCACCACTGTCCAATCTTGGGGGAAAGGTTCCCCCTTTCCTTTCCCCCACCACCAGACAACCGGGCCAACTGTTCGCCACACAATCCGGCCATCCAACAGCTCAATGATTGGGCAGTTGAAGAAAATATTGGATTCTCTGGCCAACTGTTCAATTCCGACCACGATGCTCTGGTGGACCCCTGACCAGCGTGACCTTCAGCTGGAAGGTGTGCGTGCCAACTAAACACAAGTCCGGCAGCCACCCAGTAGGTGTCCAACTGCCCAGGAGTCCGCACAATTCATACAACCGGTGAACGGTGTGGCAAAGCCGGTGAACTGTCCGGCAGCCACCGGCCATTGTGACCGGTGGGTGATTCTCTGGTCGACTGTCCAGCCGGTGAGCTGTTGGACGGTTGGCTGGAAGGTTTGACAAATGGTCGGGCAGACAGGCGGCCAGTTCAACAATTTGACAGTTCACCCAGAGAGTCCAACCGTGCAAGTGTTCACTCGGTTCAGCGATTCACAAGTTTCGACGCTCTGCAGGGGCAAGAAGAATTCATGTGAGGCCTCACAGGAATCCTTCAATATACGACACCTCTCTCTCTCTCTCTCTCTCTCTCTCTCTCTCTCTCTCTCTCTCTCTCTCTCTCTC